CCATTAGCTTTTTATCGTTCCCACAAACTAACATCCTTTTTGAAAAGCCGAGCACGAAATATTTGCCTTTGAGGGATGGGACATGGTGCGTTTACAAAAGCAATCCCAGGAGGGTGTTAGACAGGTAGACACTTTGTCAACATACACATCAAGCTCAACCACACCGGGGATATCAAACAACGAACATAGAATTCGTGGGAAAGCAAACATGCAATATTGACACAGAAGATGCAGCAAAAGAGCAGAATTGAACAAATCAAATAAAGTGGAATAACTTTTCTCCAGGTTAAACAGATCTGATTTAACTCTAAGTCGGTTTAGCCCAACTGCCGTGAAGAAGCAACATTAACCTCAGCATGTGGCACCATATGAATAGGAAAGAATATGAAGGATAGACATGCAAACCGGACAGTAAATGTGTGGCAGAATGGAAGAACTGAGCAATGGGTACGGATTCTACTTTACTGTTGGGGTGACATTAGACGAGTGTAAGTATAAATCAGCAAATATCAACCGGCTAACACAGAATAGGAAAGAGAGAGAAAATGCGCGAAATAAACAGAGAATATGCGAAGGATAAAAAACTGCACAGATCAAATGAAATGGACTAAGTTAGATCTAGTGTAATGCGGAAAAAGCTAAGTGTATGTCACTTTAACCCAATTGCAGTGAATCATAATAACCACAATATACATGGTTGGCGGCATCCGGTTCCGCATTTGCCTGTCACTGCGGCCTTTTTACGGCAACCACAAGACGCTTGCGCCTACAGAGGGACCATCGGTGGCTTGCGCCACCCCACCCACAGATCCACTCACGCACCCCATATCCAGTGTAAACCCGAAGTAATACGACCGGCAAGCCTGTGGATGGGGGCTACCTTTCATCAACGGAGCCGGCCCACATACCTTCTACATGTACAGCAGCAGCATTCTTGTCTATGTAGGGAATCATGCGTACCAGATGTACACAAGGCAGTGGATGAGTCGTAGTCCGCTCTTGTCTCGCCTCCACTTTTGGCCACCATTACCAAATGTCGGTGCTACAACTGAGTAATCTTTATCCCCAAAATGCGCACACATTTTCATTAACCTTGTTTCAGCCAGCTTCATATTAAGTTAAGAGTCGTACACCGCCAGCCCGTAAATATACACATTCATTTATTTACTTACTTACTACATGTAACCTAGTGTTGCAGCACAATACGACGTCTGGTCCTCCCAGTGTGCTGTCAACAAACGAATCCAGTGTTCGCAGCCAAATCTCGTTTAATTTTTCAGCACCGTTGAATAGTCGCGTCTGTGTACTACCCAATGAAATAAATCAAACGCATACGTAGGAACTGATCAACCTAAACAAAGCTTACTGGTCTGCTGAGTTAACATATTTTCAAAAGTACTGTATACCGATAATTTGGAGTTCACATGCTTGCTGAGCAATTGGGCGAAGTTCATGAGACAGGCATCGGAGAGGTAAATTCAAAAGTCACTGGTTTGTCAACCAAGGACAGACGACCAAATAGTGAGGTAACACAATAAACCCCTGAGGATATCATCTCGATTGGTGACGAAACGTTTGCACACCAATTACCAAACTCGGCAAGCACGTGAACCCGGCGAGTAATCCATCCTGAACGACCTAGTTGAGAAGACGGATTGGGAATTCTTGAAAGATGGCTCTCCTGACCGCTCCTGGATTCAGTTTGTTGGACGCTCTAGCAATCTAATCGCAACTGCTTCAGAAACAAAGGTTCATCCCACCAATCCCTCGTCTTTCATCAGAAGTAGAACCAGCAACCGCATGTCACTAAGGAATGCAGGTAGGCACCTTTACAGAGCTCGTCATGGTCCCGAAACCTAGGAAGACTACGTAACCCAGCGCAATTATTTTAACCTGCTTGTCCTTTGGGACAAACTGACTCAACAACTACATCTGGCTTGTAAATTTGGCAACAGCAAAAGCTCCCGTATACGCATGTTAACATAATTTGCAAAGGGAGGAACGGTATCCCGCCACTCAACACGCCAATCGGAGTGGCACAGCGTGCTGAAAAGGCAGCCAACGCCCTACGAATGCAGTATGCTCCAACCTTCCAAGAAGTCGTCCGTCACTGTTACATACCTACATCCCTAGCCCAAATTTAAGCACTTCCTAACATCGCTTTTACGGCCACATGTGTCTTGAAGAAACTGCTCTCACTACACATCTATAGTTTGCCCGGAATGAATGACATCCACCCGAGAGCGCTGAACGTAGCAGCAACAACGCTGGCCGCACCATTATCGCAGTTCTTCCAAACGGGCTTGCATAAGCAACATGCCTACTATGGGGAAATATGACTTAATCACTCCGATATTCAAAAGCGGTAATCGCTCGAAACCCGCCAACTATCGGTCAGTGGTGTTCCTCCCTGTACTCTCTAAGGTGATAGAAGCAATCCTTGCTGAAACTTTAATAGACCATCTAAAACGTCACAGCATCATGGCACCCGAGCAACACGGTTTCCGCCAACGCCGCTTATGCACTACCAACCAACTGCTTGCACGCAATAGTTAGACGGAAGCGGCCGATAAAGGTAGAGGGACAGACGTCATTTACCTCGACTTCTCCAAATCCTTCGACTGACTGGATTACCGCATTCTGCTTTAGAGGCTCGAAAGTTATGGAGTTGGGGATCCTGTTCTTGGGTGGATCACGAGTTTCCCGCAGGATCGACAACTGCAGGTCAGAGTTCGAAGTGCGCTGTCCGATCCGATTCATGCTGAATGTGGAGTCTCACAAGGGTCAGTTCTGGGGCCGCGTCTGTTTGTCGTGTTCATCAACGAACTCACGCGTTTGATTGACGCAGAGTTCTTGCTATTCGCTGATGAGGTTAAGATGTGGTGGACGATCACCGACCCAGGAGATCACGATGCCCTTCAGCGAGACCTGGACAGAGCGTACGGGTGGTCACTCGACACTCTGCTCCAGTTCAATTCGGGGAAGTGTAAAGTGGTTCGCAATCGCCACCAGCCGAACATCACATTCAAGCTTGGAAATCATGTTCGACATGCAGCCACCCAGGAGTGCGACCTTGGGGTACTAATCTAGACTGATCTGGACTGCTCAAAACAATCTGAAAAGGCGTCAAATACCGGAAGCCAAAACGTTGGCTTGCTGTGGAGGGCATTTGGGCGGTTTGATCCCTCTGTCTGTTCACAGTTGCTTAACCCATGCGTGCGGCCAGGTCTGGCGACTCTGGCACAAACAAGACCTCGCAACGCTCGACTCCACAGCGACGAGCCACGAAGCACTTCAAAGGATTGTTCAATCTTCCTTATCAACCTAGGCTGAGGACCCTAAACTTATGCAGCGGCCGGTATCGGCGCCTACGTGTAGACCTTATTAGGGCCTACCAACAACCTCTACCGCCATCTACTACAACTGAGCCATCACACGGATTTGAGGGGCCACCAGTTCAAGTTGGCCACGTAAGGCACTCGGCTAGAATGTCAACGGAACTTTTACTCTCTTCGTGTGTGCCAGCCATGGAACGCCCTCCCAAATTACGTTGTTTCCGCCTCCAATTTACCTGTGTTGAAAAAACGCCTTGATGTAGCCCTAACCCACCTACACTACGAGATATAGCCTGACGTGCCTCGACAGGAGATATCATGTGACGAATGTTGCACAACAAGCAATAACCTACACAATTGTGGTTGGCCCTTTCTGCGTGCCTCTGTGTTAACACTTATGTGAGTCCACAAAAACGATTTTCATTTTATCCCTTTGTTTTCCTTTCAGCATGTGGTTTTCATTCGGACCATCATACGGGACTTGCCAAGCATCCACTTTTTTACCCGTACTACTATAACATTGTTTCATAGTGTTGCAAGTAACTATGCATAGAAATAGTGTTGAGACAGACATTCGAAAGTGGACCGACTATCAGCAGTCCAAGTCAGTTTCTCACATGATCCAACATTTTTGATTAGTACTTACTACTACTGCTACCGTCTCATGTAATAACTGTGAGGCTGCTTTTTAGTTCAATGGTTATTCCTATTTCTATACGTCTGACACTTGAACACGGGCACTTATACTATTTAACTTGCCTTACTATTTCCTAGTAAACGCGAGAATCACTTGAGTTAACATCTCATAAAACGCTAATCTCTCAGGCCTTATGGCTTTTCATAGTTTACACACTTCCAGTGCAAACCGCAAAGAATGCTTCCTTAAAGCATACTTGGCTTCTAGTCCTTGTTCCAGAAATGTTCTGCAATTCCTGTTTGTCACACTCGAGGGAAGAGGAATGTTCATTTCTTTCACAAACCTGATTTTCCGAGATTTCGTTAGGTTTGATTGCTGCAACTGCACCTTTAAGTTAACATCGTGGATTTGCTTCTATGCTGCTCCTTATATGATCATGCCTGGCGAGGCTTGTCTCAAAAGTTTGGGGAAGGAATTCATTTATTTATTTAGTTATGTACCAATGGAAACAATTTAATTATGTATGTGTGGGTCATTTTCCTTTATTTTAATCGATTACCAAGACAGTGAATGAAGCTCTTTGCTTGTGGACTGCCCGCAATGTCGTGGAGCAAATATTGGACAGTGGTTCCCCCAGGCAGTAAATTCATCACATCTCCCCTTATTGTCGTCAACCTGTGTGTACCGAGTACACATTCAACTGTCACCGCTCCATTAACTCTTTCCGGGTTGCTGTGGCTGGAGGTTGCATATGTCGTCCGCTCCCCCCTTTTTCTCCGTCGCGTGTACAACGGAGAACACCAGCAAGCTGTGTGCCCAGTGGTCTTCACCCAATCCAGTCCGCAATTGACTGAGTTTCAGAGATATGTTTGATTAATTTGACCGCACTACTATCTTAATCTCCCCTTTCCTTGCACGCTACTTCCAGGGGGCTGTGTTTACACAGTCACGCACGGATCAAATAAGCATCCCTGAAACCGTGCGTTCGGTAAATTCAAGACGTTTTCGCCATTATCTTTGTCACACAGCTCCCGGAACATCCTCCATGCAGACAAACGGTGCGCTCTCCATGGTGCAGTACGGACACAGCACTTGTGAAAAAGGTCAGTTTAGTGAACCCCATACTCCATTTATTTGTGGTGTGACGTTCCTGTATCAGTCATCCAGTGCACACACTTGCTGGCCACCTAGCTTGCTGTGCACACTAACCGATTGAGAGCGAATCCCAGTAGCTGTTTCAAGCAGATGAGCTTTACTCATGTTCGCCAATGTGATCAGCACCTGCGTAATTCGCTTGGATGACGCGATACGGATTTGTACACCGTGGCGGAGTTCACACTACGTGAAACCAGAAAGTACCTGTATTTTGTCAGCAAAATATATTATAATGTTCAAAGTTAGGTTTACGTTGTGTATGACATGTCCCCGAAACAACGACTAAGAAGGAGAGGAATGATCAGCAAACTTCGACACAGTCAAGTCTGCACTAACAAGACTACTGAATAGTCCTATGAGTCAAATAAACTTTGCGGGATATTTCGCTGTACAGATTGATTAACATGCAGTCTACTGCCATTACTTGTGACATCTGCTAACGACATTGTCCAAACAAACAACTGACTCGTTTTTATCCACAGGCACTTCAACTGTATTCGTTCAACCATTCGTTTTTTTGTCATTTCTTCCGTAAACTATTCGACCGGGAATAGACCTAACTCGCCAGCGGTTCGATGAACGATCGAGCAATCCAAGCCAATGCAGCTATTCAGATGGTTAAAAGTAACGAAATAGAATACTTCCTTTGGCCCTCCTCAATGCTGCTCGATGCGTTTCTATAGATCTTCTCATTCAGCAGAACAAACGCCCACGAATTCAGGTACACTCGGAGCATTTGTTGCCCAAGAAGGATTTACTTCCTCATTCCCTGCAGGGTGTACCGTTGGGAACGACGCTACAGCAGCCATTAAATTCTTCTTAATTTCACCACGGAAACTAAGACTGTAGCCTCTTTGTGTTCAAACAACCATGTTCATTTGCAGTCCTTGTAAATGGAGTTTAAACCTTATGACCGAAAACCTGTAGAGAGCAGTAAAACTGCTGGTACTATACCTCTGTGTGTCTTCCACTAAGTGAAGTATCAAATTTTGTGGTACGAGTTTAGACCAACATGGTAGAGGCTCCCGTAATGATAACGGTGAGCGGTTACTTCATTTGTGTGAGGATGCTCGTTTATCTCTTACAAGCACTATCTTCCGACACAGCACCCGCCGGAGGGGGACTTAGCGCCCACCAGCCTCGAACCAGCTATGGACACAAATCGATCACATTGCGATAAGTTACCGATGGAGAGGCTGCGTCCAGAACTGTGGCTCGATTTGGAGCACATGTGTGGACACCGACCATGCACTTGTATGTGCTGACATGCGGATGCGTTTTGGCGGACGTCCAAGAAGACGTTGTGAGCGCATTGACACCAGCCAGCTGGCTAAACCAGCTGTTCTGAATGCCCATCAAAGTACGCTGTCATGCGAGTTGAGTAAGCGCTCACTGGATGCAAGTGTAGCTCACTGGTCTCATATTCACCAGACCTTACTAGCAGCAGGAAAGTCCTCAAGTGGTAAGTCTAACCGCCAACATGGACATTGAGTCTCTTCACAGTCTCTGGAACTTATAGATGCTCGCCGGCATGTTCCGGCTGGAAGCAAACACAATGAGACTAACAAAGAGCCCCGGGCAAAACTCCGTGCTAGCCTGAAGAGAGACCGCGAATCCCGTTGGTCTCATCGTGCATCAGAGATGGAAGTGGCTGCTGTCCTTGGTAACCATCGTAAGTTATCCCGGCTAATACGGGAATCGGGCAGCAGAAGACCTGGTGTTAGTGAAACAGTTTGTGTCGAGAGTGGACAGCCTATCCACAACTCGTCTAAACGCTTGGAGCGTTGGGCTGAACACTTTAAGGGGCGATTTAATCGGTCGGAATTGTTAGATTTCTCGCCGGCCAATAACCGCCCCGCTCCGTGGGCTGTCTCTTTGGATCCACCCTCTCGCTCGGAAGTCAAACGTGAGATCGCACTGTTGAAGTTAAATAAAGCCGTGTACCGGATGATCTTCCTCTGGCCCTCTTCACATTCGGCGGGACCTGCTCTTGTGGATGATTTATACTAGTTACTAGTGAGACTGTGAGAGCAGGAAACTGTCCCAACCGACCTTAGGCGCTCCGTCATAGTCCCAATTTTCAAGACAGGCTCGCGTTCGGAATGCTGCAACCATAGAGGAATCAGTCTGATCTCCATCGCCTTTAAATTACCTGCCTCTGTCATCCTTCACAGACTGACTGGCACTTGTGAAAGCCATATTCGTGAGGAGCAAACCGGATTTCGTCGGGGTCGGGGCTGCATTGACCACATCTTCACCTTGCGTCAGTTGTTGGAGCACCGTCACACATATTGACGGCCCACCCTTGCCGTGTTCCTCGATATCAAAGGTGCATTCGATTTGGTGGATAGACGTGCGCTTTGGGACTGTCTACTCAGGAAAGGTGTGCCTGAGAAATATGTAAATATTATCCGAGCATTATACGCTTATAGTAAGGGCAGAGTGAGGGCTTATGGCAAGCTGTCGTCGCCCTTTAATATCTCCAGCGGCGTGAGACAAGAATGCCCGCTGTCACCTTTCCTCTTCAACTTCGCTGTTGACGAAGTCATGGAAATCGCTTTCACAGGACACGACTTTGAAGGTGTGGATCTGCTCCCAGGAGAACGACTTCTTGACTTGGAGTATGCTGACGATATTGCCCTAATCTGTGACAGGTCACAAACGTGCCAAGCGTCACTGGACAGATTAGCACTGTCTGTCAACGGCTTCGGGCTTTGCTTTACATCGTCGAAGTGCAAAGCGTTCCTCCAAGATTGACCTGGACCGCCTCCTTCGCTGACCTTTGTTAGGGATCAGCTAGAAGTCGTTCAAAAATTCAACTACCGGGGAAGTTGTATCAGCGCCCGTGGGATTGAAGATGAGACCACGAACCGTATAGCAAAAGCTCGAGGCGCTTTTGCTAACCTTCGCCGCTTATGGCGCCGGCGCGACGTCACTCTCGTTTGAATGGTTGAGTGTACAATGCAGCGGTACGTTCGACCCTACTGTACGGTTGTGAAACCTGGCCCCATAGAGCAGCGGACCTGAAGAAGCTAGTTACGTTCGACCGCCGATGCCTTCGAGTTTTAGCTCACATCTGGTGGGAACACCGCGTGAGCAACGATTGTGTTCGACGCCTTGTTTACGACACGCGAAAAGAAACTGAACCGCACAGCAGCGTTATTGCAAGCACCAGGCCCCGATGGCTGGGCCACGTGTTACGCATGCCAGCCCACCGACTCCCGCGACATGCGTTGTTTGCGCACCGGGGATGTAGATGTAAGAAGAGGAGAGGTGTTCAAGCGATGACTTGGTCGAGAGGAATGAAGGCCCTCACTTCGAAGCTGGCCTCAGTTAGAGCTTCTCGACTCCCTGGTTGGGGTCCGACAGACGATGAACACGTTTGTTTGGATACACTTGTTGATATGGCTAGGAGCTGACCTCAGTGGCGTAGTTGTTGTGAGTTTCTTTGTCCCACCCCTCCGTCTTAGCCTTTCCTTCCAACTACGATCCCATTATTTAGCATTTTATAATTTTGCATAGTATCCTGCAGGTAGCTTACTGGAACGATGCCCATCTGTTACCAGTAGCTCAGCTGGCTTGCACCTGTTGCATTTTATTTCCTTTTTCTTTTAGGTTTGCGGCACAGCAGCTGAGGTGTTTCCCACCTCTAGCTAACGTGTATAATGTGTGTGTATTGATGTGGACATACAACGGGTTACTGGAGACAAAGTTGTAGATCAGCCTTAAATGTTCTCCGGGAGCTGCTTGGGATTCCAGAGCGTGGATATTGTAATCGCCAGTAATGGGAATGTGACTGTATGTTGTGTTTATCACCCTCCCTATTGCGGATGCCAGATAGAAGTCCATCTCTGGCGTGGAGAAAGGAGGGCGGTAAATGATCGCCGCCAAGCAAGTGTCATCGCCATTTAAACGTAGACGGCACCAAATGGAATCTTGTACCATGCTGACCGGATCCTCTATGAGCTCACATTAAAAGTCGTTTCGGAAGTACAGAGCCACCCCTCCACCTTTGCTGGGTCGGTCGTGCCGAATTATGGACATACCTGGCAGTGCGATCTCCCTGTCACTTATGTCAGGACGTAATTGTGTCTCTGTTATAGTGATGCGGTCGCAGGCGTTTGATCCTTGACACAGTCGACCGACCGATGAGTGACCGGCACCTAATCGTTTTTTGGATGGATTGACAACTTTCGATATAACTGCATTCTGTTTTTGGTCTCGCATCTGTGGTCTGTAGTCCATCGGCAGCCTCTTCTATAGCCACGGATCTTAGCACACTAGTTTCTGTTGTGGTTATATTGATTGGCGGGTGGTGTCGTTTCCGCGAGAACAGCGAGTGGCTGCGGCTCTCGAACGAATGTCTTCAGTCATAGTTCTGAAGGAAGTGTGTTGCGCGGTAACTGCCAGCTACGGCTTAAGCCTGCGACCACCTGTCGTGATTGTAGCGTTAGTTTCAGTATCCTCGGGCCACTGCCTCTGTAGTTTGGCTACACGGGTAACCGTGTAATCGACTGAAGTGTGACGTCGCGCGCACTGAGAGCTTCACGGATGTAATGCCATTCTTCCAGGTCATGAGCGTGGGATTCTTCGTTGCTGGTTATCGGTAGGTTGGGCACACCATGGACGAGAATAATTTTTTTAGCTACTCTCCATGTGGTGGTCTTTTGAAGTATTTTTGTCACGCTGACGTTCTCTCCACGCAACATCCGGAATTGTGTGCATTCCGCTGTTATCCGTCCTCAGGCGGTATGCCGACAAAAGCAGCGTCTCGACATCATCTATTGATCACAACGTTACTTGCATTACCCGGGCTTCCCATAATGATTCGAGGTTGAATGTCTAGTGATGCGTGTTATACTAGTAGGATTGGTTTGAACGCCGATTTTATCACAAAGGAAATTCCATCGCTTTAAATCACCTATCTGTTTTCTTCTTAAGCAGTTTACCTTGGACTCAGGAACATTGGTGTATATGTCAAGGCCCCGTAGTTCCACCTGTTGCTCCGTGATGTGGATGGTATTACCATTTATAGTGGTAACGATATACGTTCTGAATGTGTTTTAATTGCATACATGTATGCATTTTCAGTAGCTGATCCACTAGCTTACGCGCCTCGGTACATGGCTTGAAATAGCCGAACTTGCTTTCTAAATTAATATATTTTTGTCTCGATACTTCGCTGGTTACGGTATGCCCAAGCTCTTAGCAGGCCTACTTTTCGTTGGATCGAGGATTAAACGCTGGGTGAATGGCGGAATGGTAGCTCTATTTACTGTGTCATAGAAGCATTGGTGGAATCCGTTCCCATTGCCGATGGGAATTGCAAGCCCATATGTGTGCTATCCAATGATTTCGGACTGTGTGGTAACGACTGGCGCTTACTTTTCTCACATCCAATTGCCATCCATCCTCATCACAATTAAAAGATTGCACCTAGTTTCAGCAAAACTGCTAACCGTCTTCCTCTTATTCTTTACGTTAAAAAGCTTGATTAACCTCTTGCTTTTAATCGTTTTTCTTTCAAAGGCATGGCTAGGTAAAGAGTTTGCCGAACTCCACCGATATACCAGTGCAGACGCAGTCCAGGTGAGTTCACCCTGTGCTGCATTCAGTGAGGTTCCTTTTGTTCGTAAATTTTGTTCTGTTTGAAGTGCATCTGTATATCCATCAACAATGTCTGATGTAGTAATTTTCGTATTAGTCATTTGGATAGAGTCAGTTATACGCGGTAGTAATGTCACTTTCATTCGAATGAATAGCCGAGCTGCAATCAGTAAACCATGTGTTTTTTGTGTACGGAAACTAACATGCACTAGTTCAAAATAGAGTATGATTACTAATGAGCATAACCGTGCGTAAGTTAATTAACTCTCTAACTTAAACGCTTCGTTTCGCACATCCCAAGCTGATGTAAGTCTGGGTCAGACTCGTCAGCACAAATCAGCTGCAGACAATAGCTTTATTGATGCAAAGTGGCACTATCCGTTTTGACACTCCCTACACAATTATTCTCCCGAATCCCTCCTTGGTCTTTTATCTCGACAAAAGAAGGTTGGTCAGTCGGCTCAGATATGGTCATTGCACTCGGAACTTTACTGCTGTGTCTGACCCTGCTAATGCCTGTAAAAGCTGCAAAGGCCAAATTGTGCGATCATCACCTGGTTGCTTCCGACTGATTCCCAACTACAGCGTGCTTGTGTTTGCCTGTGAAGGAGTGTGGGCCGGCTCCGTCGATGAAACGTGGCTCCCATCCACATGTTTTCCGGACTTATTCTTTCGGGTTTACACTGGATATGGGGTGTGTGGATGGAGCTGTGGGTGTTGCAGTGCAAGCCACCCATGGTCCCTCCGTAGGCGTAGGCGTCCTGTGACTGGCCACAGTGACAGGCAAATCCGAAACCGGGTGCTGCCAACCATATATATGTGAGATGTGCCCTATGCTGAGGCTGATATTGCATTCATGATGCTACTTCACCACAGTTGGGCTAAAGCAGCTTCCACTTAAACTAGGTCTTTTTACGCTGAATAAATTTCATCCACTTTATTTGGTTTGCTCTGCCTACCTGACTGTTCTTCTATTAACTGGCCACGTTGCTTACGTTAATTGTGGTTATTTTCGTTAAGTTAATTGCGTTTGTAGCATTTTTGCGTAACTTCTGGACATTTTGTACTTCCCACGGATTCGATGCTAACCAACTTACTTCATATGCTAATTTAGGAGAGAGTTATATCTGCATAGCCATATTCGTTAACAGATATATTTTCCTTGAAAATGTCATTCTAACTGATTGGCTGTTGTTTGACATCCTCGGTATGGCTGCCCTTGATGTACATGTTGACAAGGTGCCTACCTCTCTAGTACCCACTACCTCGTCCATATTGGCTCAAGGAGACAGTTGGTCGTTGCTGGAGGGGACGGGGTGCACGGTCTTTGTGGCCGTGCTAGGCACAAAGAGTGGTTCCATGCACTCAGTGTGGAGCGGACTACGGTCCAGTCACCGCCTTGTGTACGATTGATTCCCAAGTACAGCGTGCTTGTGTTTGCCTGTGAAGGAGTGTGGGCCGGCTCCGTTGATGAAACGTGGCTCCCATCCACATACCTCCCGGTCTTATTCCTTCGGGTTTACACTGGTTATGGGATGCATGGACGGAGCTGTGGGTGGTGTAACGCAAGCCACCCATTGTTCCACTGTAGGCGCAGGCGTCTTGTGGCTGTCCTATGGAGACCGCAGTGACAGGTAAATCCGGAACCGGATGCCGCCAATCGTGCTGCATGGTGAGGACTGCAGTCAGCCATACGGTTAACTAACGGAATCATTAGGGGGATCTGGAATTGCATGCGAATGCCGCAGGTGTATGGAAATGGGCTATTAAGCGAAGCAAGTATGCAACCACTGTTTAGCTATCTGTGTCATATTGGTGAGTGATCCCATTGGCATAGATTATTTCCGCAGATGGCACGTGCTATCTGCGTTAAGTAACCTTGCGGCACAAAATTGGGACTAGGTGGTGCGGGATTGATGGTGGCCAAGCTATTTTGTCGCCTCTTGGGGACGAATGCACAATCTGCGAGGGTATTTGTACATCACTGCAACAGACTGGTTAGACGCAACTTTGCCTCCTACTCCAGCTTGCTACAAGCTCATCCGATCCTACTAACAAACATATTCACTAAACAGACCAGTTAGCATTTTAACTTCTAAGCACGTTGGTGTATGTGTCAGTGTTTACCAGGCTATATCCATAACGTAGATGGACAAATTTCCTTACTGTAAGAACGGGGTGAAGCAGTCATCCGTGTGCATCAGCTAAGTTGACCACTTCAATCCCCAGAGTGTGATGGTTGGAGAGACGTTTGGTGTACCTTCGTATGCTTTTACTCCCCTCGTACACCACACAGTGTTCATCGCATTATCTCTTCTCCACAGCTCATGCTTAGCAACATTGAACAGACCGGGTTCCCTGAGTGGAAGGACTATTTGTACATACGAAAACCTGGGGAGAAAACGTGGTCAAGACGACTCTGCATCCTACGCAGTTCCGGCATTTACACATCGAAAAAGAACAAGAAAAACCTTTCTGTAAGTCCCCTGCATATGCATTCTCGCTTATGTGTCATGGATTTACACATGCCCAGGATGGATTGTATATCACAGCCCGGTTCTCAGTGATTCACAGGCCAGATGCATCAATGTCCGTTTGTCGTTAGCTGCAGGCTGCCGAGTTTGCATTGCTTTAAAACTAGAGTGACAGTGAATCTCCGTAATAAAAAAAATTATGATTAAGTCTGCACTGGATGTGATGCATTTATACTGCCATCATTCTACTTGCACGATTCGGTATAGGATCAGGCGTTCATATGCTCGACTGACTTGGCCACCAGGTTGGAGATTTTCAATCACCAAACGAGGTGACGCAACTATTACGTGGCAGCAGGTGATGTTTCTACCGAGTACCAGTCTACCTCAATGTCGTGACCTTGTCAGCGTATGTGTGCTACTCGTGCAATCCTGTGCTCTGTGTTAAACTTGACTTATCCCCTCACATTCTTGTGCCACCTCTTCGAAAGTACGCTCAATCGATTCGGAGCACCGAGCTCCATCCAACAGGGTCTATATTTTTGAAGTAAATCCATCGACACGCTGGTACACCACATACGAACTCTTCGAACTCTATTCACTAAGGTCAACGTGAGTAACTTTGCTTATTGGAGTTTCATCAGTACCTTTGGGATACCATTCCACAGAGCTTCTTTAAGACTGTCAGACAATATATAACTTAGTACTGTGTACCACTGTATACCATAGGTACAGGCATTTTTTGTCATCTCACGTTACCATCATATTTTTACGTGCATTTCACTGCACAAAACTTGTGTGATTTCGGCTACTCGTGTGCCTAGTGACGCCCCACCACCACCAAAACCACTGACCGGAGCAGACAACTGAGGCAGCGCAAACGGCGTGATCAACGCAACCTAAAAGAGTATACCGACAATTCATCCATGGGCCGAAGAAGTTTGTCAACCGGGAATCCAGTGAACAACAAACCCAAGGTCAAGCGTAACTCATGCAGGGAACTGAGATCCTCTCGAAAATCACGTGTTCGTTCTGTGCCAATTCCTACGGCGCAACAAATGTGAACCTTTCACGTAACGGAGCTAACAGCGTATCAACAGATAGGATAGGTTGTGGTTCTGTGACTCATGTTCAGATAGTCCGATAATTGAGATTGTTCAAACGCTTACGGTAAGGTGTGAAACATTAGCTGTTACGTCGGCAGACTAAAAGGAACTGATCGCGGTATGGAAAACCTTAGAACTCGAGTTGCAGATTAGTGCATTACGGAACCCGAATCCCCGACCTGTTAATAGGCAATATCTCTCTAGCAACAATGCCACGCTGTTCAGCGAAAGGCAAACACCGTTAATGTAAAACATCAGTGAATACAGGCTTTTTGAACTGTCTCCCAAGTCTCACATAATGCTCCAAAGCATTCAGTTACGCACAAATTGCACGATCACCTCCGTCAGTAGCTGGACAACAACAATTGACTCCTACAGATAGTGCAACTAAAGACGTTGCACGTAAACATCTTGCTGTAGTCTTAGTCTATCGTCCACGGAAGACAAGCCAGACACTCCCACTCGACAAACCTACGCTCACAAGGAAAGGCAGAACAAACAATTATTACGCCAACAAAAAGGCGATGACAGTGATTTGTTCAAACGTTCCAGAACGCACTAGTGAATTGTTAAAAGGTAGACAAGCCGAGGGGCAAAACCGCTCGGTTGAAATAACCTGCGCACTCGGACTGAAAGTTCTCCCAACTAGTCTTATACGCCTTTCACGAAATCCATCATCTCCACACTTAGGGGAACCTCGGTTACTGCGAGTAATGTTTGGCAACACACGCGACCTGGAGGATGTTCTCTTAGCAAACCACATTCTAGTGAACTCTTCTGTCAGTGGCCGCATTTTTCCTGACAGGCCATGGTTAGAAAGACGGAAGCGAAAGACCAAACCCTAGTTTCTCACGTCAAAATGAGATAAAGGAAGTGGTACTGGTTCATGGTGTGCCAGAATTGAGGCATGACGATAGCGGTGAACGACGAAGCAAGACATGGAAGAATGAAGGTACATCGCAGAGCTCTACGACATGCAGAATGTCGTGGCTTTTGACGTCACCCGTCTAATTGCCTCCACAAACTACCAATGTAGCGGGCCACGAATTTTAAGTTACCTTGGCTGCGCCCGAAATGGTATCAGGGGCAATCCAAGCATGGCATGATAATAGGAAACTAGGGCCACCAGAAGTATGGTTAAGAGCATTCCTTCAATTAGTATAGACCTCAGATACTAATGAGCCAGTCTCAGTTGTATCTATCTCAGATCAGCCAACCGTGCAATCAACCGTTTCAAAAAACTTCAGCAGACCGGCACTATTTGTGCCGGTCACTCACAGCGAACCGAGCTCCTGATGCGTCAACAAATACAATGCTGCTACACCAACACTCAGGGGTTGTATTCTAAGCTCTCGGAGCTGCGCAACCGACATGAAACAACAACTTGGGACCTCATAGCAGTCACTGAAACTTGGCTCTCAAACGACATCCTTGATCCGGAGATTGAACTCAGTGAGATGTCAGTCATTCGAAATGATCGTCTATCTCGCGGTGGCGGTGTTGCTCTCTACTATCGAGATTATTTGAAATGTGAGGCGCTTACCGAAAATTCCCTCGTTATTCCCGACGCACTATTATGCCGACTGCACCTAGCAGGTCGAGATGTTGGTCCACAGAAGAAGAGTGATGCTTGCCTCTTAGCAGTTGTTTATAGACCTCCGAACTCATCAGCAGACAGCGATAACATTCTGTTAAACGCTCTCCGCTATGCTGTTTCACAGAAGCACTCTCACTATCTTATAATGGGTGACTTTAATGTTCTTTTAATAACATCAATGTCCCCTAATGAGCCATCATTTAAATCGAAACTCCTCGAATTCATGGATATGGCAGTTTTGTATAACCATGTGCATCGACCAACCAGACACCGCGGTTCAAACAAGCCAACACTCCTGGACTTAATCCTGACTAATGAAGAGTTGATGGTTGAGTCAGTGGCATACAATCCTCCACTGGGCCGTAGCGACATTTGGTTATGTGTGTTATGCCAGTATTGTTGCTAAAGAAAGAGAGACTCAACGAACTATTATGGACTATTTTAAACTGCACAACTTAGCAGCAACCGTTGACTGGGACCTACAGACGCACAGCTCAGGGAATGACGCGTGGAATGAACTGACAGACGAAATTAACTGGGTCATACAATCAGCATCGAAGGTTGTACCGTTACGAGCATCGCGCCGGACCAATACGTGGATCCGGAGCAGAACACGTAAATGGATCAACAGAAGAGATGAAATCTGGAGACAACATTCGCTGATCCCATGTGATATCACGTGCCAGGATTACAAAGTCATCAGAAACTACTGCACATCACTCATTAGAGTCGATAAGTACGAATGGCAGGAAAATATGGTGCTGAAATTTACGAGTAACACCAAACTGCTCTACAGATTTGTGAATGGCAGAAGAAAGGTTAAGCCCGGAATACCACCACTCAGGACGGCCAGTGGCCTAACAACTACTGCTGTGGATGCCGCGAATGCTCTACTCTTGCAGTTTGTCTCGGTAGCTACAAATGTCATGGAACCTTTGCCCTATCAACTCCCAACCAATGTCGTTGGCTTATCCAGCGTCACCTTTACTCCAGCAGCTGTTGTAAGTAAGTTACAGCCTCTACGGGAGTACAGTGCCACTGGAATCGACATGATCTTCCCAAAAATACTGAAAACCCTTTCTTCCATCACAGCAGCACCACTTGCAACCTTTTCCAGGGTCTGCCTAACTCCGATACACTCCCATCTGAGTGGAAAAAATGGAATTATCACTCCAATGTACAAAGAAGGTAAGCGATCGGATCCTGCCAACTACCGACTTCTTACTGTCTTTTCTGTTTCATTAAAAGTGATGGAATCGGTACTTGCAGATGAACTGACGCGATACTTTGAAAGCCAACAAATAATTTCTAATGCCCAAAATGGTTTCAAACGCAGACGATCTTGTCTCACCAGTTTGCTGATTACTCGGGACTTATGCACCAGGGCGGCTGATGAAGGAATGCCTATAGATGTGATATACCTGGACTTTTCTAAAGCATTCGACGGGGTCAACCACTTCTTTCTCCTCCAAAAGCTTGCTGCCTACGGTATCAACCGTTCCCTGCTCACCTGGTTAAAAGACTACTTACACGACAGAGCAATCAAGGTAAGAGTAGCCGACACTCACTCTGCTAGCCTGTGCGTCTCCAGTGGTTTACCACAAGGATCCCACCTCGGCCAGCTACTGTTTTTAGTCTACATTAATGAACTTACAGCAGGCATTCTATCTCCGACACAAATATTTTCGCACGATGCTAAAATATGGAGTGCAATTCGCTCAGCATCCGACTATGTTTACCTCCAGGAAGATCTGACTCGGTTTAACGAATGAGCAGAAAGGAACCAGCTCCCACTGGACCCTGCAAAGTGCCACCTGCTGACGGTGCGCATCAGCTTCGTCAACACGTCCTACAACATGTGACTAGTGAACGCGACTTAGGTATAAGCGTGCAAGGAAGTCTTGGCGATTCCCTCCAATGTTCGAAATTAGCAAGTGTGGCGAACTTGAACTTGAGACCTTTGAGGCGAGCTCTCGGTACCTTTGAGCGATGGCTAGTACCAATGCTGACTAACCTATGTTCGCCCTCACGTTGAATATGCAATTCAGACTTGGTGTCCATGGTTAAAGGGAGACATTCGCCTATTGGAACGACCCCACAGAAGAGTCACAAAGGCAACATGTGGACTATCCGGTTTAAAGTCAAGAACTGCGTCTTCGTGTACTCGGTATGTTCTCATTAGAATAGCGACGACTTCGCGGAGATCTTACTCTTACACACCGCATACTGACTGAACGCGAGCATCCATGTACATCACTGTTGACTCTCGCCCCTTACAAACAAAACCGAGGCAACCGCCT